GGAGTTCTATGTTCGTCGCTCTTAGTATATTGGTTCAACAACTAAGGACTGAAAAACGCGTAGATATATTTACAACGACGAAGAAGTTACGATCGCAAAGACACGGCATGATTAGCACTTTTGTACGTAATTTGAATTTAATATTAAAGAATTATTTGTTTTAATATATAAGAAATATTTTATATTAATGCATATATTGACATTTTCAGGCACAATACGAATTTCTACATCGTGCTATCGTGAATTATTCAGATCTTCATAATTTGGCCGACGACGAACCAGCTTCTTAATACCATGGAATGTAACAATGGAACATCTCGGTAATGTTCGGTGAATATGTGCATAAAGACAATTCACGTACAAAAAATGTTTGAAAATGTACGAATGCTCAAAGAAACGTATATTGGGCCAACCAAAGAAATTACTAATATATTGGTGAAACAAATACATCATGAAGTTAGACTGAAATATGCATAAGCATAAGCAACTATCGATCTTTGACAATTTTCATATTTTATGCACAGACTATCGAATTATGTGTATTAGACATTTATTCATACTACAAGAAGTAAGCAGTAAACATTTCACATTGAAAAATTCATAGGATTAAACTAAACATACGATTCGTTTAATACGATACAGAAATAAAATTAACCAATTATTGGTTAATCGTTAAAAAGTGTAATACAGTGAAAATGCTCGTGGTATCACGTTCTTGACAACGTTGTGAATCAATCTCAATAATTTATTTTTATTGATGGAATCTAGAAAGAAAAACCTGAAATAGTGTAACAGTTAACATTTTTGTGATTGAAAATGGGATACGAGGAAAGCATTGACGCAACAAAGTAAGTGCGTTTTTATTAACAAATACGACTATTTGGTGGACTTATGAAAGAACTAAGCATATTTATAAGACGTACGAATATTCTGACAAGTGGACCATATAACTTACCAATCTAATATTTGATCGTGCGTTTATACCGTTAGAATGTTCAAGCTCAATGTGAAATGTAAAATACATTGCAACATTAAAATTATGTTTCACGAAAAATAAAAAAACTTCTATGTATATCTTAAACATAACTTTGATGTTTTTTTAGCGCGTTATATTATAGATATGTGTATATTCCTTTTCATACACGATCACATATAGATGGCATAGTTTATATGGATTAAAGCTGAATTAAGAACTGGGTTGTATTCTTCCAAACGTTTTTGCTGGCATGCATTGTTAATCTACCGTTCGATGACAAGGAAAGATCAAACACTGATTTGATCTTCCTTATGATTTACGATTATTAATGATACTACGCACGCACTGTGTGTTTATTAGTGCAGGATTATTTGTAACATAGGAGTCATATACAATATAAAACGTGCGTACGCTAATTTTTCTTCTAAATAAAGACTGATCTTCTTATTCAGTTCGAAATTCGCGAAGAACGGCATGCAAAATTGCTGTGAATTGTAACACGAGGAGAAGAATCATTTTTTACTTTTTCATACATGAAATAATTAGGAATATATCTATGTGTGTGGCATGTCCGCAAATGTGCTTTGTAAGTCACCGACGAAGTGTTACGCATAATTGGAGGGCTTACGCGGCACAATAGGAGTTAGGTTTTTACTTGAGAATACTAAAGACATAGGTAGTTTTTAAAAGAAAATTTACTAATTAAATTACTTGAATGACTGTGAAACGAACCTAATCTAGGAGGGTCCTCTTAATTCATAATTAATTAAAAAATAAAATCATCGGAAAGACATTATACCAGAATAAAATTGAATTTTTATATTAATAACAGGAACTACCTATAGCTGCTAGTGTTCTACCTCACAGTGGATAATGCTAAATATAAAAACAGGTCGATGAGATTACTATAAATAAGGAAAGAAAAAAAATGGAATCATTGAAGTGAAAAAATTGCGGAATTATGTACTATATATGTTATTTCTTCGCACGCTCGTTCTTTTCTAGTCAAGTTTTTAACTCCGACACGTGCGCTGCTAAGCCATTCATTTATGGCAGGGGACAATCACATTTTAAATTCTTGATTTACATCGCATCGATCGGCAGGATTTATTTTTCTTTCCTTTCCTTCGTGTCAGTTTCATTCCATTCGCGTGCATACAATGCACGTCCCTAATCGATGTATATGTGTGTATAACCTACTCATTAACTGAGAAGCAATTAGTTGCTAGTTTGCGCTTCGATTATGTTGTAATTGATAGAGATCTAAGAGACGATTATGTTCAGCCTGGAATTAGAATCGCTACTATCACTACTGTTGCTTTATTGCATTGACAAACAGTGTGACGTATTTGTTTTTATACTCAGACAGACTAATGCATAGGAGTATTTACGAAGGTGCAAAGTGCCTACGAATTTCCACCTAGTCCCATTTTTTACACAATGTAACATCGTTAATGATATTTGTCTTTTTCTCGTGAGTTTTGTGTAATTAATTGATTACAAATCATTTGATTAGGCATCGTATTGGACATTTCTAAGATATAAAATATTTAAAGATATTCTGTACTATTTTGTATGTATTATTTATATACATGTTTACATCAATAGTTTGTATATACTTTATAAATGATGGGATTTTTACACTACCTGAATATTTACACTTTTCTAACCTTCATTATAATTTTATGAGAACTTTTATTTTGTTTGACAACTCAATACTCCTTAATTTGCATAGATTTTATGTGTGCCTTTTTTGGTCAGTGCAAAGGAATATTGTATGGTGGAAATTCTTAAACATTTTGTATAGTAGCTGTAGTCTAGAATGATTTTTATATTGAAATATAATGGAAAGATTTTTTTTAAAGGCAAATCGACACGCACAATATGCATGTAAAAATATAATCTCATGGACTTTTGATATTTTTTAATGTAAAATTTACAAGCACAGCGTCTCACTTGTAATGAATATATCTCTTTTAATTTATATTACGTTAATATCAGTGAGAAAATAAGTAATGTTCATTTATTTATAGGATATTTATAAGATATGCGATATATATATATATATATTATATTATATTATATATATTATACATATATATAATATATATATATAATGATTAATTGCGTTTCTATTATTTAATAAGAATTTTGTGCAGAATTAGCGGTTGTTTTCAACTTTTATTGCATAAAACTAAAACGCACTTTACGTGCACGCGAAAATGCGTAATTTAGGACAGTAATAACAGTAATAACATTGTTAATATTTGATACAATATGTAATTGCAAAATTGTAATGACAATTTCGTAATTAGTTACATGTATGTTCTTATTACATATTTTCACCTCATGTGTAAAAAAAAACATCGACATTTTTACAGCCAGTGTATGAATTAGAAGCATTAAAAGCATTGTTGTAAATTAATGTATACAATTTTTTATTTTTATCATAACAAAGATACTGATACAGTCCAATAAGAAAAAAAAAGGATATGTTTTGGCCAAATAGCAAGTGTATTACAATCTTTTAACTTCTTATTTTGTAAAATGCGCATAAGAAAAATGCAATGTATTATAATACAGATATACCTTAGATATAAGTTAAAGTTAACGGCAGCTGCACAGCTTGCCATTTTTTCTCAAAAGGTATATCTTGATAATGACGCGCATTATTAATTACATCAGGCTGTGTGTTGATACATTAGTTCTTTATTTAAATCAAACTAGATGCGGTCGATTGGAGTTAAATTGGTTATCGATCTGATATTAACTTTAATTCATCTCGAAGTAAATGGCTCTATGTAATTGGCTAGGAACATGTAACGCGATTAATGATACACCGTGCCCTATAGGAACGTGTGCGTGAGGTTTGTTGGTATGATTAGGCAGTACGTGTAAGAAAAAGAGGAGACGGCGGTCTTTTTTGTGGATAATATATAATTCATGTAGGATATATATTAAATATTCTCCTGTGTCCAGACAAAGGTGATTGACCAACTATGTGTCAACTTACGCGTTAAAGATGCCATTCATGATGAATTCACTCTATTATCCGAATGAAATAACTGTGTTAAGTAATAGTACTCGAATCAGCTAGCGTAGATCTTTGTACATTGTGCTATTGCCATAGCAGTGAAGTATGGTATATTGTGAATATGATTGTGCTGCATTTGACAAATATCTTTAAAATAAAATTAAAATAAAATAATTAAAATAAAATCGTTTACCAAAGGAGTTTACTTCTTTGAAGGAAATACCTTTGATTCGATGCAAACAAATTTGAAATTTTTCTGTTGCTATTACAGCACAGATGTCAATTGTAGCAGCACAAGCTTATTACAATTAAAAGGAAGGGAGAAGACTTTTACAAAGCACAATAAGAAAAACTATTTTGCTTGGAGATCAAAGTGCTTGAAGCAAAAGCTTTTTTACGATTTTGATACATAAATTGAAATTTGCAATGATACCAAGTAAGATAATTGTCAAGGGCATTTTCTATGCTTATACTTCATTTTTTCATTGTGATTTATTCATTGCTTGTGTTTGACGATTCACTAAAGTACATTGAGAAAGCTTCTTAAATATGCAATGTAGCGGCGAATTATTGCCTTAGTAACAAGGGTATACTGACAGACTTTGGATTTTAAATTGAAACAGGATAACTTTAAGATTTGTTCTTTTTCTATACATCTTTATACTTTCTTAATACGTGCACGAGCAATGTACTATCTATTTGATATACATAAATCCAATGGCACCTACTAACGTTCCTGTGATATTCTATGCGACTGATGAGTTTAAGATGTGATGAATCACAATCCTTTTTGTATAACTGGCAATAGAAATTAGTTTCTATAGCATCAATCTTGTACTTTTATAACTTGTAATTTCGAGTTACTTTTATCTAATTCTTCAATGAACTTCCGACGACATTTTACATTTGATACGGATATACATATTTGAAATTTTTTTAATACTCGCTGTTAAGATGAAAGTAATCTGACAATTAAAATGTTACTGATCCTCTTTCTTCTTTTTTTTATACAATCATTCGATGTAGCATCGGTTCAACTTGCGTTCAAATATTGGCATGATGTAAAAATATCGGTATCTTACAGCCAATGGTCCGACACGATGTGTATGGAATAATCTTTCATTGTAAATAGCTGCTGAAATTACAAAAACTGCGTAGTGATTTTTTCGAAACTATGTAATACTCGAAGCAAAAAGACGTTACATCTGAGTATTAAGCTTATATATATAGGGTATTTAAAAAATATACATATGTCGAATTAATGATTTTGTCCAATACGTATTCATTAATGGATCAAGATACATTACCCTATATATGTATACTTCGTTTTATATTTCCGATTATTTTCTCTCGTTATAAAATCTTAATGGCGGAGGAAATATCGTAGACAGATAATACAAAAAAGTATTATCAAAAGTATTCTTTATAATTAGGTATTATCGTTACAACCTTTGCGTCGAGATTTTAACGAGGTACTGCTTATTCTGTAAACATAGCAATAAAATATTTTACACGATTTAATTGATTAGCGACATGTATAAATATATTGTTAAATTTGATTTTCTCCGATGCGTAGCTTATATCGAACTCTGTAATTTTTATTTATTCAATGACTGTACTGTCAAGTAGAGGATTCTGATAATTAAGGATAAGTATACTTGCGACGTTCGTTTAAAAATATCGTGCTGCCATGTACAAATACATATATATAAGTTTCCGCTCGAATTGTGTACGTAAAGATGTGCTATGAATCGTCGTTGTTTCATTTTTAGTATACAGTATAGCGTACATTTATGTTCATCTACTTACACGACTAGCAATTAATTCTAAGAGCGATCTGTAATGTACATTCAATATGTACGTCTTTCTTTATGTTAATCGAAGCTTACTATAAAATTACATTTACAACTTTTTGTATACCGATACTCAATTTAAACGATAAGGATAGAAGCAAGAAAAGAAAGAGAAAAAGCCTATCTCGGCCTATTTTTAGCGAAATTACTAGCGATATAATCTCCATCGTTGTTTATAATAATCGCACAAACAATTCTCAAAAATGAATGCAAATTATTAATTACTCAATTCGTGATCTGAATTCAATGTGCGAACAAGCTGAAACCAGATCTTTTCAAAGAATAGTCTTTCATCATAGGATCGTATATCGTGATTTTGAAAAAAAACGTAAATCTTTATCGAGTATCACTTTCAATCAACTTGGGCACTAATCTTTTGTAACGGTATTCTTTCGTTCTGTATATAACGTATCCTTTTAAGGCATATTTTTAACTAACCACGTTAAGTTCACCGTCAAATATCAGAAATTATAATACACGAACGGCTCTTTAAATTTTCGTGTTCAATATCGAACGGTGCTGAACAGCCGGAACTGATGCGCGTAGTAACCGTAAGTGCGCGCGCACGTGAACAAACTACGTGACAAAGTTCAAGTCGATTTAGCGGCAATCGACATTCCGTCTATAATTGACGGGTGTAAGACCACGTGCAAATAAGCTACTCAATATTGTTGAGATTTCGTAGCGGTAACTCTATGTGCGATTCTCAGTAATATTATATTTTTAACCCTGTCTTTACAATTCATATAACTGCGAATATTGTTCTTCTATAGTAGAGGAACGTGCGCCGCGAATATTCATTTGCATTAATATTTGCATAGAAAAAAAGAGTTAAATAAAACTGTAACTTTCAACATTGAAGAAATTAACATATATATACCATTAACGGATTGCTTCCGAATTCTTCCGAACAGAATCAAAACAATAACTACAGAACGTAACACAATTGTTACCGAATAAATCATTACTATAATCGGCGTTAGTATGGTTTATTACATACGTGCCGACTATGGACGACATTCGTATTCACAGTTCCTCGCATGGATGCTGACTACAGCCAACGTTAGAAACGAAAAAATTAATAGCGGGAACGCACACTAACGTGCATTGCATTATTAAAAATATATATACATAATTGAATCGCAACAATAACTTTGTACACTACTGCGTAATCGCAATGACATCGCAATGGCTCGTCTGCACCAGGTCTAATTCACAAGAAAAGAACAGTTTCTGTGCTTCGTATATTTCGTAAAGAAAAATGTAAACGCTCTAAAAAGAGGGCCTACCACCGTCGTCTCCAATCCGGTTCGTCAACCCATAATAAGTAGAATCTTTTTTTTTTTTTGTAAATGAAACCGTGTAAGAGAAATAAAATTGAAATTCAATTGTATTAGAGCATTATGTTCGTATGTAATGGAGGATTAAAAGTTAAATTACGTATAGCCTTAGATTTTGTATGATATTCACTTTATAAGAGGGAGGTTATGCTAAAGATAAAGATATATATATATATTATATATATTATATCTATGAAATACGTGTAACGACAATTGATCGTTCGCCGATAATAGACGAACCACAAAAACGATGTAGCGGCGCTGATTATCGAATCATCTTTTTGTATGAAAAGAAAAAAAATTGTAAAGCGATATCGGTAACGGTGCACTCGATGTGAAAGGAAATACATGACACAATAACGAACTATACGAGCAATTTTCGTTTTCCTTTCCTCCCCCTTCTTTTACTAACATAACAGGACACGAAACATTACGGTACATTCTTTTAACATTCGTCCAACGAAAATCTAAAACTACTTTTATATAAATTCCTTCGTGTAATTTATAGATTCTCAAAATTCCATTCCGAATGTATGCATATATAATATTTGATTATTATTTTCTATCTATTCGCTAGATCTAGTAATTTTCAATTCCACGAGTTAATGTACCGCTATGTAAATTTTAAGCTACAAACATCATTAGTATTGGTATACATAATAATATCAATATTTATCATTATAAGAAATTAGAGCAATTTAATTTTGTAACGAAAAGTATATAATGTAGAAAGTGGGAAATATCAGTATTGTAATCTAGACGAGTAATTACGGTGGACGAATATAATTAAAGAAAATCATTGGTTACCATCTAACGGCTCCTCGCGGGTCCACTCAGTGAACCGCAATTCCTTCATCGTTTATTGTACACGGTCTACATCGAGAACTTACACTATGATTTGCATAATAAACTAATGACAATTATAATCACGACATAGATTTTATACGAGCAGGATGTTATAAACTATATCTTCTAGGAAATTACTATCCCATTATTATATTGTTCCATATACATTATTACCATCTCATATGGCATTTTTAGAATAAATCAAATATTAAAACAACTTTCTCAATTAAAATACTAATACTGATATACCAATTGCCTCTCGCTTAAAACAAAAAGTATTACCACAACTGAGGAAATATATATCTATTATGTATACGATTCTCGCTTTTGCCTGTGTTCAGGCATCCATGCAAGTTTCCTTTTAACGAACTACGGAGTGAAACAATCTTATGTAGTTAGCAGAACAAAAGAAAACCAGTTTTCTGGCACAACATTTCGATTATAATCTAACTTCATTTACCTTGATGCCATCCTACGATTTGCGTCAAAAAGCAAAAGACCAGATCACAATTGCACTTAATCTTGTCGCTTGTTTCCTCTGAACTGGTTTACTGTACTGTTCCCATTTTTCTTACGAGTCATTTAATAATCACTCGTGTTGCCCAATTTCTGCACAAGACATGGATAAACCGATGAGAATACGAAACGAGCGATGAGATGATATTGTCAAACACACGTTGAAATCTCCAAAGTATTACGTACATGTGTATTCGGAAACTTGATCGTGGGGTATCGTCAAATATGTATGTGGTTTCGAGCACATCCGCTATATTCTATCGCATGTCTATGGAATCAGCAATCTTAAAAGAATAAAATTTCGTAACAGTATAATAGAAATGAACATATTTCAAACATCATCCTTATATTTCTACACCGATAAGATTTTCTATTACCTTGCATAGTAGTAGTAGTAGGTAATTGGATAATTGTACCTATGAGTTTATTAATTAAAAAGAATTATTTAGTAAAAATGATATCTCATTGACTTTTATCTATTATATTTCTAAGTATATATTTTAAAAAAGTAGATAAAAAGTAATATAAATTGTTAATTATAAATATTTTAATATTTCTTAGAAATAAGATTATAAATATAATCATTGCTTAAAACTACGTCAGTAATCGCAGAACTGGTCATAACCCAATAACCGGAAACCCACTAAAAAAAAATGTTAACTTTAAACATGCATTTAACATACAGCAAGTTTGTACATCTCTTAATGGATGTTCTGATACGTACAACCATGAATTCCTCGAATACCTGGTGGGGAACGAGTTGGCCGAGGATATTCGTGCAGTCCATCCCTGCTAGTACAATTGCGAACATACTGACCGCGAGTGTTTGTTACGCACATCCGTAACATGGTATTTCCATTACGAGCGTGAACCTAAAAAAGGAAAAATCATTGTGTAATCGGAAATTCAATGAACACAAGAGAGTAACGAATCGCTGGCGATTAATTGCTAGTGAAGTTACAATAATAAGGTACAACGATACGCGACATAGCTCGCTAAGCAGAAAATTAATATTACAGCAATAACGTGAAGATCGTTAATTATTATAGAACCAATGTGATACCGGTAAAAATGTATGTTATTTCGTTTTAATTAAATCTTATGGATAATTGAAAACATCCCGCTATAAAAATATGGAAAAATGATTAACAAAGAAAAACACTTCTATAGTTAATCAACAGATATGTTTCATATAGAATAAAAAAAAGTTATATATTTATACGTGAAATGAATACATCGAAAATGATGAAATTAATTTATCTTGTTTTAGTAGTTTTAAACTCTGTTAGAAACGTTAGAATGAACGGTGAATCGAGCGGAGAATATCTTCAAAAGGTGATGTTCCAACTTCAAGAATTCAATGTTCCCTCCCCTACTAACATTTATGATAGGATGTTGTCAAATAACGGCTATAAAAATGTAATCTATATGAACAAAGATCGACAAAATTATCAGGTTCAAAAGATTAATATGAATACGCAACGAAATACACAAAAATACCAAAACCACAGCTTCCAACATCATAATACTATACTTAATGAAAAGGTTGATTTACATCCAACTGATTTAAGTTTTTCACAATATCACGAGGTAAATAAATGACATTTTTATTCATACATTTTAAATAAATATTTTATTATTTTTGTTTCATATAATTTGTTATATATCTAAAGAGTTCCAAAAAGAGCTATTAAGAAATTACCTTTGATTTTTCAGCCTCACATTCCGATCGTTACCAAAGTAAAAAATCCAGAAGTACTTGGATTTACCAGGGCAGAATTGGCGGCCATGTATAAAAGCGCATTAGAAAAGGGATCGACGATCAGTTTGTCTTCATTAACCAATGCACTCTCTTCCGGCGAGGTACCTCAGATTACACAAACTCACGTGGAATTTCCGATTAAGCAACCTCTCTATCAATATTACTTCTTTCCACTAAAAACTTTTATGTCAGAATTTAAAAAAGATCGCGGTTATAAAACGATTGTAAGTACATATTCTAATTTAAAATTGAAGAAAATTCGTCTAATTTAGAAAAAAAGAAATGAAAATTATTAGTTTAATCTTCTCATTATTACGTTCCTGTCATTCTTTGTAGCCTGTCCATGCATATGACAAGACGGAAGCTGCACAAACTACTCAAACGCAGTTATCAAATCCTATTTTTATAGCCATAAGTACTTTTGTCACTATGGCAATTGTATTCATGATGAGTGTTTTATTCTTGCCAAAGATTACTCAACTCGATATATTTCCAGCGCGAAGTATTCAAGATGATTTCTTTTATCTAACGAATATAGTTACGAACGCTATTGAACGTTATAATTTGTTGGAGAAATTTAGAGATCATCATGTAAATACTATCAGGTAGTTTATAATATAACGAAATAAATAATGTATATACCTAGGTGAATAATTAACATAGGGAAAAGAAATGTAAGCGATTTTATAGATTATAACTTGGATTAAAATGTATAAGGCTGATGTAAGGCCGAAATAAAATTAGATAATTTGTCAAAATATATTCATAACATCTATTTAATTACATCATTTGTCACTATAGTTAGATAAATTTTAACAAAAACAACAGTGAGCTAAACAAAACAATTCTTATTTGATAACAGTATATAGTATTTCTAAATTTTGTTCCTTAAAAAATGTAATGTTTTACAATTCCTTTTTTGTACATAAATATGTATTAATAAAATTGTATGAAATTGTACAACTAGAGATATGCTCCAAATAATACAACATTAAACGATACTAGAAACATCTACAAGTATTGTGCATTGTGTATTTTTATAATCTTAGTTATGGTAGAGAAAATAGGGATAAATTATTTTTTGTGATCTATTTGGGGAATGTATATGTATCTGTGATTACATTCAAGAACTATCTAAATTTATAATAAAGAAGTTAGGTACTTTTCAAACTTTTCTATATGTACTTCTATGTCTTGTAAAACTATACTTGCTTATATTTTACGACCTGTACAATATGACGTATATGAAGGAAGGCACACTTTGGAATAATACCTGTAAGCTCATTATTCACTTTACATGCTATCTATTCTTTTGTAATCAGTCTGTCCGATTGGCAGTGGAAAGAGATGCTTGCTCTGCAGCTTTCCGTTTTAATACTTGACGTTGATGTTCGTATTCGAAATCTTCTTCGGTTAGATTTAATTTTCGAATCTGCGATATTGCATTTATTTAACAAAATGTACTTGTTTGCAAGAAACGAGACACGAAAATCAAGTATCCTACCTGATAAACTAAAGCTTCTTCTTCCATAATATCCTGAGGAGGATTTCTTAATACTTGAAGCGTTTCATAAACTGTCGGACAGCGCTTAGTAAGAGATGTGCGTCCTAAGCTGCCTTTTAACAAAACTAGTCCAACTTTAAAAATAATTTTAACACCTTCACAAAGGAACATATCCCACACTCGTAGAATACTTTCCCATGGCAGTGTTCGCGTATAAACACATAAGAACCATTCGGTCATATATAAGATTGGTTCCATCTTTTGTTTTTTCTGAGAAATTAATGGCAATAATTAATTCTCATTTACATGCGGATTTTAATTAATTAATACTAACCAAATGTTTGTAAGCAATGGGAGACACTCTTTTCAAAAGAGCAAATAAAATATCTCCATCGCGTAATAATGTTTCCATTCCTTGACTATAATATCCAATTAAATACTTGTCACATATTGCAACAAGGCACCAAAATGCTTGTACTGCTGGCATATGCATCAGTAAAAATGCAGCAATAGGTGCTTGAGCTTGACAATAACCAACTTTACTATTTAAAATAGAATAAGCTTTCAATACTTTGAACAGTTCCTCCTGTCCAGGAGCTTCTCCAATAAACATTATATGATGTGGAAATTGACGATGAAGATCTTTTTTGATATCATCTATATACTTTGGATCACCAGATCGCTCCACCAACTCTTCAAATAAATTTGGGTTTGTATCCATTAGCAATTGACCTCCGCAAAGATTTAGCCATGCACGAAGTCTTACTGAAGGTGGAATACCCTTTCTACATCTTTCTCTAACTTTACGGTAATTTGTATTCATGAAATAACTCCAATTGTTCAACATCTGTATCCATTTTCGTTCCCTTCTAAGCATTACCTCTGGTGGTAATCCTTGTTTAACAAGGCTAGTATTTTACACATAAATATTAGTATAAAAATGCATATTTTACCATCATAACTGTTACATTAATATATAATTATTATATTACCTGTCAGAGCTACAATTGGAATCTTGAAGGAAACCATGTCGATCAATTTTAGAACCTTCAAACTTATCACTCTCTGTCTCTGCATCCCCATTATATGATCCTGAGGACGCCATAGCATTTTTCTAATTGTCTAGAATAAAATATAAAATTTTTATAATACATATATATATATATACTGTACTACTTCCTTGGAAAAATAATATTTTGATCAAAAAAGTTTTGTTTATTATATTGGACATCGTTTAAATATTTTTACTAATATCAATATAAATTTTAGTTCTAAAAATAATAAATAACAATAAAAAATAATCATACGAAGGATCTAACAATTTTCAAATTTAATATGAACATGTTACCAAGTATTCTGACGTTTTATAAACTGTGTATTTTATATCTATCTCGATTGCATTGACAACATTTTTACACAAAATAAACGTTAATCGGCGCACTTTATGATTACAAATTTGTTTCACTTACAACATTAAAACGGAATAAAGAAGAGAATATCTGAACGCGTTTTATAATTGACAGTTGACAGATACATGCCAATAAATTTCGAATAAATAATATGATAACAAGATCATAATTTAAGATATCAATACTTCATATGTCGCACGATAAGGCACTGTTTTGTAACGCCCAAAAAGTTCGTGCAACGAATTACAATCATTTGTACGTGTCAAAGTATCTTGTCTCAGCTTGATAACTAACATAAGCGCGTTACTATATACATATTCACACATTATTTACTTTCACATTATCACATTAACAATGAGTGGGCACACCGTGTGAATTAACATTAGACTTACCATCGATGATCCGCAAAAATCTGATTTATGAAATTCCAAAAGAATATACTATGCATTGCTTTAAAGTATCGATATTTTGCTTTTATCACACGCGTCAATTATAATAAATATATGAATTTAAATTAATTGATATATTACAACAAAATGTAGCGGAGATTTTTATCTCGAAATGGAACTACCTGGTACTCTACGTTAATTGGGCAGTTCCGTTGATTCATTTACTGTTATCCAATAGTAAGAAAGGATTAAAAGTAAAGATAACTATGCTTAACAGCATAATCGATGTAACTATACAGCTATGTAATTCAAATCTAATTTCGTATTTAAGAAAAAGTGAAAATAAGTACATTAGAAAATGAAACGTAATACAATTGAAACTGAAATAATTTTACAATAGTAACGAGATAATGTAATATCTTCCTCAATAGGAAAGACTGCTTTCTACTTAGAGTTACATATGTGTGACACGTAAGTACCTATATAAATACCTATTTTTTGTAACCTTACATAAATCGTTTATTCGTTTAATCGTCACAGAATGAAATTTGACTAGAAAACTATTCTAGCAATATATACATATATACATATATTGTGCATTTACGTAGTCTGTATATATATATATATATATAGATAGATATATATATCTCTTGTTATTCGTTACTACGTAAATGCACTTAATTCATTATATGCCAATGGTTTATTTATTTTATTAAATGTAACTTACCGGCATA